CTTCTTCCAAGGCGACCACAACGACGGGCTCAGCAACGCCTTCGACGGGCCAGGTGCTGGTCGCTCCCCATCGTAAGGCGCTCTCCTCCGACGAGCTCTGTGGGTGGCAAGGGGCTGCTGTGGGGCTGGGGCGGGGGGGACGTAGCCCTGTGGTTTTGGCACTGAGCAGAGGGGGGCTGCCTTGGGAGCACGTGTGCCTGCTTGCTGGTGGGGACTTTGCTGCATGGGGCGGTGTTAATGGAGCATCAGATGGTGGCCGTGCTGCTGGAGTCGGGTCCCTTCCCAAAGCCGGGCTGGTGCGCTAAGGAAAAAGTAGCTTTGGGGGGATGCAGGGAATGTGATCCACAGGGAGCAGCCGGGGTGCTGAGCATCCCTCCAGGAGCGCATTGCAGCAGGCAGAGCTGCATGGACCCCGTAGCTGGGATCGGGGTCCCCGCGCGGCCCCTCACCGGCTCTCGCCTCCCAGGAGGAGCCTTGGCTCACGCCTTGCTCCCGCGCCGCGGCGAGGCCCATTTCGACAGCGACGAGCGCTGGTCCCTGCGCAGCGGCAAAGGGCGCAACCTCTTCGTGGTGGTGGCCCACGAGGTGGGCCACACGCTGGGCCTGGAGCACTCCCCCGTCAAGAGCGCCCTCATGTCTCCCTACTACAAGAAGCTCAGCAAGGACTTTGTCCTCAGCTGGGACGACGTCTTGGCTGTCCAGAACCTGTACGGTGAGCGCGGCCTCCCCACAGCCTCCTGCAGCTCTGCTTGCCAGAGCTCATCTGTGGAAAGCGGGGAGGGATCGGGTTCAGCAAGACGGCTCTGTGCAAGCTCGGGTTGGGGAAATGACTGCAGCTGTGGGGAGCATGTAAGCCGTGGGTTGGAGAGAGACCGTGGAAGGGAATGTGATGGGTACGGGGTGCTCCAGGGTAGAGAAAGCCTGTTGGGAGCACCAGTACCTGGGGGTTGCAGGGTACCAAGAAGTCTTTGCCCACTGCTTGCAGAAGGGCATGGAAACTGGACAGTGAATCAAGTGTTGGGTGCCCTCTGATGAGGCACCAGCCCTGTGTTCAGCCAGTGCTTGGGGAAGCCGTCTCCATGCCCTGCTCTGTGTCTCATTCTCCTTGCTCTGTCCCAGGGAAGCCATCCAAGGGCTCAGCCATCCAGCTTCCCGGAAAGGTGTTCGCCCACTTCCAGGACTGGAGCGTGGACCTTTCCGGTGGGGAACAGCAGCAGAGGAGCCTCAGTGCCTATTACTGCCACTCCTTCTTCGATGCCATAACAGCTGGTAGGTGCTGGCCAGCATGGCCCTCTCCCAAAACGCACATTCCAGTCACTGCCACCGCAGCACCTGCTTCTGCTCCAAGTCTTATAAGATCCATAGGCAGAAAAGGCAGCGCTCCCTGGCTTGCAGCTCCGCTCGCGCTCCCCACGCTGCTGCCATCACACTGGGGACAGGACGGCATTGACGCAGAGCGAGACAAGGGGTGGTGGGACCAGGGGCCTCCTGGCAGTGCCCAGCACCGCTCACACAGACGTGGGGCTGGGGGTTCCTCACCTCCCGTCCTCTGCTTTGCACAGATGGGGACCACAACCTCTACATCTTCAAGGGCAGCCACTACTGGCTGGGGGCCGCGGGCCGCCGCGGCCCCTGCACCCCCGCTGGCCCGGCCTCCCCGCCGCCGTCGACGCTGCCGCCTGGTCCCAGCTCAGCGGCAAGTTTTACTTCTTCAAAGGTACCGAGATGCAGCCCGCTGCAGCGAGGGGAGCAGCACTCCCCTCTGTTTAAAAGCAATATTGGATGCACCCAGCTCTGTGAGATCTTTGGGAGCTCCCGGCTGCTGCGGAGCGCCCGGGGCTGTGTCTGCTGCCAGGATGGGCTGGGAGCGGAGATGCCGCTCGCGAGCTGACCCGGGATGCTCCGTGGCCGAGCGGGCGGTGGGAGGTCAGCCCACGCGGCCCGGCTCTCGGCCGGGTTTGGAAGTCCTCGCCGGCCGGGCAGAATGGGGCTTTGTTGCTGCGGCTGGTCCGGGGCCAGGAGCCCCGCTCTGCCACCACTCGCAACCGCTGTGTCCCGCTGCGGATCCGGATCCTGCACCGCTGCTGAGCAGAAAAGGGCTTTTGTGCTCGCGTCACCGCGAGTCAGCCCTGCAGGGACAGCCTGGCCCTGGCCCTGGGACACAGAGGGTGACACAGGACGCAGGGCTGGCTCCTCCTCTCGCCCCGTGCTGGTTCTGGTAGTCCTGGCCTGAGGGCAGCCTGGGGGTCCAGCACAGGGGCAGGAACTGGTGGTCGAGCGAGCGTTTGCTGTGGGGCAGTTTCCTTCCAGTCGGATCTTGGGGAAGCCCTTTGGGGATGCTCTCCTTGCTGGTGACAGTTGGGTCACCGGAGGGATGGAGCTGCTCACTGCTATGCGAGGATGGCACCAATGTGTCTGGTCCGGTGCTCAAGTCCTTTGGGCTGGTGAAGAGGAGAGGAGAGGCTGAGGGAGCTGGTTCTGTTCAGCCTGGAGAAGAGAAGGCTGAGAGGGGGTCTAATCAGTGTATATAAGTACCTCAAGGGTGGGAGTGAAGAGGATGGTGCTGGTCTCTTTTCAGTGGTGGCCGCCAACAGAACTAGAGGTAATGGCCACAAACTGAAACACCAAAAGTTCCACAGGAACTTAAGGAAAATTTTTTTAACAGTGAGGGTGCCAGAGCACTGGAACAGGCTGCCCAGAGAGGTTGTGGAGTCTCCTTCTCTGGAGATCTTCAAAACCTGCTTGGACGCAGTCCTGTGCCACGTGCTCTAGGTGACCCTGCGTGTGCAGGGGGTTGGACTAGATGATCTCTAGAGGTCCCCGCCAACCTTCAGCATTCTGTGAGTCTATGATTCTAAGTCCTGCTGGTCCGTGCAGCGCGGACGGCCTCCCGCGCCACCCCGACACGGCCCTCTACTTCCAGCAGCTCCGGCACCTCGTGCTCTTCAAAGGGGCCAAGTACTTCGTGGTGAGCGAGGAGACCCTGCGCGTGGAGCCCTATTACCCCCGGAGCCTGCGGGACTGGGCCGGGCTGCCCCCCGGCACCGCGGGCGCCCTGCGGCACCGCGACGGCTTCCTCTACTTCTTCCGCGATGACCAGTACTGGCAGTTCGACCAGGCCAAGCTGCAGGTGGTGGCCACGGGCAAGTGGGCGGCAGAGCTGCCGTGGATGGGCTGCTGGGACGCCAATGGCGGGCAGGTCCTCTTCTGAGCTCCTCCGAGCCCGCGCGGTCCTTGGCTCAAATTCCCGTCTCCGGCTCGTCGAGTGCGGGCGGTGGCCACCAGGTCTCCCTGCCCGTGTGTGGGCACGTCGGGTCTCCACATGGAGCTGCTTCCCTGGAGAGCCGCATCCCGAGGGAGCACAAGGTGCAGGACCCATCCTGCAGCCCAGGCTGGTTGGACAGAGCCAGCGATTCGGGGGAGGAAAGATTTCCAGAAATCCTGGAGAACAGCCTAACCGCAGGGACTGTGGACCCAGTCACTTCTTGGAACTCTCAGATTATTTTTTATGCCTTTCTTTCAGAGTGGGGCTGTTTTTTATTGACACTTCTCTGGCTGTTTGCCTGTGATCGTGCAGAGCAGCATCTCACTGGAGCTCGCGCTGGGGCTCACGTGATTTCTAATCAATGGGGAAGGAACGAGAATGTTTCTGGTTAAAGCAAAAATTGCCATTTGGACAAAAATATGAGGGAGGAGACGATGTCTCCGTGTCCAAGATAGGAGCTCACCTGCCTGGGGATGCGGAGGGGGACACGCTGGCTGGACAGGGCTGCAGGGTTTGCAGGGGAAGCAGTTTTGGGGGGTTTGGGGGCAAGGCAAAGGCGAGCGGCAGCACATGGTGCTTGAGGGCAGCCCACTCGCCAAAGCTTGTTTTTCTTATGGGCTGGTGGGTTCTCTGCTGTCTAATAAGGATTGTGCTCCTGCTGTAGCCTTTCTCATACCCAAGGGTCTGTCCTCACTCCGGCTCTCTCCATGCAAGAAACTGAACGGGTCAAAAGACCGATGAGCCCTGTGCCCCTCTGCTGCAGTTGGTTGAGTCTGATTTAAAGCATGAGGAGGGAGTGACCAGAACAGGTCTTTGGGTCCAGAAGCTCAAACTCAGGGAGCAAATAGGGCAATCAGGGTCAACTGGGACAAAACTAGCATTAATTTGATTTGAGAGGTCCGGAAGTCTTGTGCCAAAAGAGAGGGGACACTGGAGGTGGCGGTGATGGGCACAACTATCCTTGGGCTTCATTTTGGGAGCAGCTAAGCCCAGGGAGTGGGAGAAGAAGCCCATCCTGCCAAGGCTGAGCTCTCAAACTGTCCCTCCCTTGCTGATGGGAGCAGCTTTCCTGGCCCCTGGCAGGGCCATGCCCGTCACCAGGGCTTCGGTGCTACAAGACACCAGCCAAAACTTGTTCCTGCGCAGGACGGACTGGGTGCCAACGTTGCTGTTTGCTTTCTGTGACAGTCGTGGCCAGAGCGTCCTGCGCAGACACGGGCTGCGTGGCTGCTCCTGGCTTAAAAGCTCAGGGGATTTTCGGTGCTGCCAAAGAGCTGGGGACGCTTGCATTTGCTTTGCAAGGAGTGGTTATAATACACCACAGGCCACAATGAATCCCAAAGGTCTGGAGACCTGATGACAAATAAAATAAAAAGTCCTCTGTACATTCAGCGTTGAGATTTCTGTTAGCACTTTTTTTTGCTTTTAAGCCAATTTCATGTGTCTTGGAGGGCTGTATGCAATATGCTCATGGGTGCATATGGGGCAAGAATGGGCACTGCTGAGTTAGCCTAACCTTCCCTGCAGAGCAGGGTGTTTTCCGGATCAAATGGAAGGGGTAGATGATGCTGAAAAATATCTGTCTAAAGGCCATGGTGAGGAAAGCATGGAGCCTCTTCCCTGCTCCATCCCAGCTTAGCAGGGCTCTCTCCGTTCCCTGGGAAATGTTCCTTTCTTTCTTTCCCCGCTGGGATGGAGGAATTTCACCCCAGAGCTGAGATGGGCCCTGCAGGGTGGCCTGGCTGCAAAAGGAGGTTCACAAGGGTCCTTGTGTCCTCCCAAGCTGCCTCCAGGCGCGACTCCTCCGGGGCTGCCGCGCATTCCTGGCTGGGTGGGAATAGCTGACATTCCTGTATGTCCTCCCCCAAAATGGCACTGGCGGAGCCGGGCAGGAGCCGCAGAGCGCCTGGGCCTGAGAGGGTGCTGGGGGGCACCAGTGCTGCCCGAGCACCGCACGAAACCCAATTCCAGCCCCACGGTGCAACCGGGGCCTCGCGGATCTGCTTTGGCAGAGGCCCTCAGGGGTGAATCCGGCCCTGCAGCAGGCAGCGGAGGAAGACGCGGGAGGAGCCGGTGCTGAAGGGTTAACGGGAAGTGTTTGGAGCCAGTCCCTTGTCACCAAGGAGAAGGCAGCAGCACTTTGGAAGGAAACAAAACACCCACTGACCAAGAGGGCAATTTCCTCTCCCAGTTGCTGCCCCTGGCTCAACTTGAGCCCCCCG